GCAGTAGCAGTAGCAGTAGCTGTAGAACAGAGGCAGGCTGGTAGGGTCCTCACCCGCTCCTCCACGGTTGAAGCTGACAGCCAAAGGCGAGCCAACCTTATCGGCGTTCTTGCAGGCAGTGGCTTCTGCACTGCTGCAGCAACCCATGGCGTCGGCAAACACGGGGATCCAAGTGCTCCTAACGTATCAGAGTCCTGGAATGTGCAGCTTAGGGTGACAAAATCTGGAACTCATTTTCCCTGCCGTCTAGTCTGTATCAAATAGGGGTTTAGGGTTTAGGGTTTAGGGTTTAGGGTTTAGGGTTTAGGGTTCACCCTGAAACCCAAGAAACGGCGGCATAGACTCCAAAGGGGTCCAGGTACCTAATGTAGGAGCCTTTGTCATTAGGATAGGGTCTAAACCCCCTTATAATAAGGAGCCCCCAAAATACTTTTGGTAACTACTTAGGCCCTATAGTATATGGGGGTTTCCGAAAATAGGGGACCCTAATATAGTACCCTAAATAGTAGGATCCTTATTATAAGGACCCCAAAATAAGGTACCCCTAATTTTCTGAAACTCCCATATGGCTTTATGCTTCGGCCTTGAAGGGGCTCCTACAAGGTACTTGAGCCTCTAAATTCTTGCGGCTCAAGGTGTGTGTTTAAGGTCCAAGTAGGAGTTTCCGACAATAAGGGGTGCCTTGTTTCGGGGTGCTTATAATAAGGAGCCTACTACTTGGGGTCCTTTTTTAGGGTCCCCTTTTTTGGAAACCCCCCAAGTCTATACTCGATAGCTTTATAAGCAGTTGAACCCTTGCCGGGCTGTGGGACTAGTGCATGCGGCGGAGAGGCTGCACTTTCTCATCGGGAAAAGCTTGCAAGCAAGCCTAAACCCTAAACCCTAAACCCTAAACCCTAAACCCTAAAACCCTAAAACCCTAAAACCCTAAAACCCTAAACCCTAAACCCTAAACCTTAGTTACCCATCACAAGCATGGAACAATCCTGAGCTCGTACCCCAGAAACGTAGATAGATCGTTATAAATGTGCAGGCCGACGCCTCATCCACCTCAGAGCCCCCAAAAACGAAGCCAGAAATCACACCATCACCCTAGGGCTCCAGCTACTGAAACAATAGGTTGCTAACCATAAACAAATAAATCGATATGTATACATACATATATATATATATATACATAAGTAAAGTAACCCAAATTGTCTGGTAGCTGGAGCTCGATACCCTATAACCCTAGCGTTATTGAAAGATGACAAGGAGACCTGACCGGAGTGGTCAAAGGCCGTTGCCGACGTAGCTGCCCATGGTGCTGCAGGTGCCGGATACTGTTCCCACCTTAATCGGGGTTTAGGGTTCAGGACGTGGTTGGGTATTGCGTTTATGCTGACTTGAGGATTCCATTCTAATATGCTAGGCTACGAAGATAACCACTGAGTTGTACCACATCCCCGTATTATGCAAGCTTTTCAGCCACGCAGAACCGATTATGAACCAACCCAATCTCCTAAGTATCCCGAACCCTAGAATACCTTAACCCTAAACCCTAAACCCTAAACCTAAAACCAACAGCCCGACGTAGTCCTGTGTTGAGCAGCTGAACCGTTCGGGCATCCCCGACTCCACGCAGACCCTTGATGAAATTTAGGGTTTAGGGTTTAGGGTTTATTCCCCCTTAAGAGGTCTAAGAGTTTAGGTTTCATTGAAAGGGTTCCATTGTCCTTTAAGGGTTTAGGGTTTAGGGAATCCTTTGGGGAGTTCCTCTCACCATCCCATCACAGGGATTGCGGCAGGCCAAAACAAAGCCAGGGTTTATAGGGAACCCAAGACGTACCCCATGCAGCAGATTCGTGCTGGGCTCGAAGAACCCAGAGAGCCCGATACAGCTTGATAAAGGAATAGACCTCAAACTATACGGGGCTTAATAGTAGGATTTAAGGTATATTCCTTAATTAAGGGGTCTTGGGCTTTCTGGGAAGGACATGATGCAAGTGTTTCGTCAGCTGCGAGAGCTTATCTTGCAGGTTCACCGTGTTCTGACACAGGTCTGTGTGTAGAACCGTCCGTCTTCTGCCATCAGAGCTCGCCCAAATTCCTGGACCTCAATAGAAGGCATGAACCTTCCTGGCATTCGTCACTTTCAACTGGTTTCCTGGCGAGACTTCGTCGGAATATATGACCAGTCTCCACTTCTGGGTCATATCGCACGGGGATGCTGCGAGGATGTTTTCCAAGAATGCACGACTTAGGGTCACGGCGGCTGCTCTCCAGATGCGCCTCCCAGACAGTTTTGCAAATGTGTGCAAGGCGTGCCAGGGACAGGCCATAGGGTGCAGATACTCCACCTTCACCTCTTGACCCTTTGTATCGACGAGGCTCCGGTCCCTAAGCTTTGGTGCCTCACCGCATCCCTTAATTTTTTTGGGGGGGGTTCGTTTGAGGGCTCCTTAAAGGGATCCGAGTTTTATATGGGTTCAGGGCTTCGGATCTAGAAGGTCCTTTAAGAGGGCTCCTATAAACTACCCTTTAGCAGTTACTGTAGGGTCCCGAATTAGGGGTTTTACTTGCTAGATCCTACACCCTGAACCCCTATAAAACCCTAAAGCCCTATAGATCCCTTTAGGAGCCCTTAAAGGAACCCCCCAGCAGAAGGGATCGACTTTCTAGATCCTTCCGTTAGTCTGGGTAAGGGTTCAGGGTCTAGGGTACAAATCACCAAGCAGCTCTAAGCTTGAAGCCCTAAACCCTTAAACCCCTAAACCCTGAAACCCTAAACCCTAAAACCCCTAAACCCAAAGCCCTAAGCCCTTAAACCCCTAAACCCCTTAATGCTGAACCCTAAAACCCGTAAACCCTAAATCCTTAAGCCCCTAAGTCCCTAAACCGTAAACCCTAAACCCTTAAGGCAAAAACCCCTAAACCCTTAAGGCCCTAAGCCCATAGACCCTACACCTTAAAGCCCAAAGGCTTGAGGGTTGAGGACCCAGGGCTGTGGCCTGAGGGTGTTGCTTTGAGGTACGTCGTGCCTTAGGGTTTAGGGTTTAGGGTTTAGGGTTTAGGGTTTAGGGTTTAGGGTTTAGGGTTTAGGGACTTCAGTCTACTTCCTTTCTTTTGGCTTAGCCAAGAATGTGATAGTTAGGGTTCTATAAGTCTAGTTCTTTTTTGGGCTGAGCCAAACATATGATAGTTAGGGTTCTATAAGGCAACCCCCGAAAGGAACTACAATGGATTATGGCTTCGCCAAAATTATTTTAGTTAGGATTCTATAAGGCAGCCCCCAACAGGAACTACAATGGAGACTATAGGTACCTTAACCTCCAAACCGTTAACCCGTGGACTCAGGCGCAGGCGTAGTTAGCTAGGAAGTCGCCGCAGTCCTTGGTAAGAAGCCCAACACCATGGCAGGTTTCGGTGTCTAGGGTTTAGAGTTTAGGGTCCCTAAACCCTAAACCCTAAACCCTAAACCCTAAACCCTAAACCCGAAGCCGCTCAAAGGATCATGGGACCTACTGTAGTAACAAGGGTGCTAAAGGGTGGCTGTCCAACTTAAGCCTCCCTTTTATAAGGGTCCCTATGGGTTTAGGGTTTAGGGGTTTAGGGTTTAGGGTTTAGGGTTTAGGGTTTAGGGTTTAGGGTTTAGGGTTTAGGGGTTTGGGTTTAGGGTTTCGGGTCTATAATGAGGAACCCTATGGAATAACATTTACAAAACAGCGGAGCTCTTACGGCACTTGGCAGTAGGAATATGACCTCACAAAGACTTAGAGCCCGAAACCCGGAAAATTCAGCCCCTAAACCCTACACCCTAGGCACGGGGGAGGGGTGGTCTAGGAAGACTCTGCAGGATTTTTCTGAGGTTTCCTCACTGCCTGACTCATTCACGAAGTAATGTAGGGGCCTTAATACTAATAATTAGAATAGGGTGTTGGGGCCAGGGCCCATTGTAGTATAAATATTACAGGGAACCACCAACATAAAATAGGGATTATTAAGGCCCCCTATATTACCTAACCCTAAACCCTAGACCCTAAACCCTTAAGGCCTGGAGGAAGCTGCCTTAGTGGTTTGCCAACACAAAATCACACAAGGCTTCTCATAAGAACAGCCTGGTCCGAAGACCTCCGGTTTAGGGTTTTGGGGGGTTTAGGGGTTAGGGGCTTAGGGTTTAGGGGCTTAGGGGCTTCGGGGTTTTAGGGTTTAGGGGTTTAGGGTCTTAGGGGTTTAGGGTTTAGGGGGCTTAGGGGTTTCGGGGCTTAGGGGCTTAGGGTCTTAGGGGTTTAGGGGCTTTGGGGTTTAGGGGTTTGGGGGTTTAGGGGTTTGGGGTTTAGCAATGGCAAAAGAACCTAAACATCAACTAACCTTGCATCCTGACCTTAGACCCCTAAACAGCTTGCAGGGCAAGGGAAAGGGCCTACGGGTTCGGGAAGCACAGGCGCACTCGCTTGCAAGCGGCACACTCAAAAAATCCTCGGCACTTGATCGGAGCCAGCCGGCTTTCAAAAACCTAACCTCTGCAAGCAGGTACCACACGTGATCCAGAAGGCTTGAGAAGGTTCAGCCTTTCTTCTTGCTGCCCTCGGCCTTGGACATGCCGTCCTGCCTCTTCGCAGCATCCGCCGCAGCCTTCAAGACCCTCTTCAAGAAGCGCCACGACCTCGATCGCTTCCGCTAGGCGCGCACGTGCACTTCCATCGACACAGGGGACGTAAGCTGGTCTTCGATGCCGTCGCAGCTTTTGAAGCAGCACCTCTTCACCATCTCCGGCACGCTAACCTGCGGGGGACCCTCAACCCTTTGCCCCCAACATGCCAATGCAGGGGCTATATATAATCATCAGAATAGAGTATGGGTACATTCTACTATACGTATAGCAAGGAACACCCCCAAATAGTGTAGGTAATTGCTTGGGGGACACCCTAAACCCCAGACAGCCTCTCAAAACGCCTATAGGAATTCTCAAGCCCGAAACGCGGAGGCCCTTAGTTTAGCACTGCCTTGGGCACAGACCACTGCGAAATCGACTCCGAGTGCAACTGCAGACGTGGGCCGCAAGACCTGCGGACAGCCCCTACGAGAACGGGGCTTTTGGGTTTGGGGTTTGGGGTTTAGAGTTTAGGGTTTAGGGTTTGGGGTTTAGGGCTTAGGGGGTTTTGGGGGTATCTAAACTACAAAAGTAATGTATTATATCAAGCCCGGAAAAAATTAGAATACGGTTGAGGGAAAGTAATGTATTATATCAAGCCCGGAAAAAATTAGAATAGGGTTGAGGGGGACAAAGGTCCCTACCCTTGTAAAAATAAAGAGACCCTACAGGGGATCCTAATCTAGACAACTACCCATGCACCCTAAACCCTAGACCCCAAACCCCTAAACCCTAAACTCTAAACCGCTAATTAAACCCCAAACCCTAAACTCTAAACCCGTAAACCCCTAAACCCCAAACCCTAAACCCTACTTAGCAGAGGAACTCTGAGGAGCAGTTTGAGGGACTCTGAGGTGAGACGTCCCTAATATGGACCCCTGGGCCTTTCTAGGGACCCTTAAGGGTACATATAGGGTTTAGGGTTTAGGGTTTAGGGTTTAGGGTATAGGGTATATAGTAGGTGTATAAGGATCCCAGGGTTAAGTGCCCCTGCTTAGGGCCCATGGGTTCAACCTTAGACCTTACGTACACCCTGAAGAACCCTAAACCCTAAATCCTAAACCCTAAACCCAGGCCCTAAGCCCTATTTAGCCCTAAGCCCATACTAGGGGCCCATGGGTTCAACGTTTGAGGGACGCCAAATGGGAGGATCCGAACCCTGGGCTTCCAGAGGGCCGTGAAGGCCCGACTCTAAACGGAATAGAGGGGGTTTACAGATGTGAACTCCGGAATGCATCTCGCCAGTCGTGGCGTCTAGTTTTCCGAGGTCAAAACCCGGCCACTCACTGATGACTTCGTGGGTTGCTTGAGGTGCTTCGGCTTGAAGAGCTTGTGTCGTACGGGCTTGTTCAGACAATGTCATGCCAAACGAGGTTGGACTTTGACACGTGTAAAGAGAGCGTATACCGTAGCAGCACAACGTTCCTGAACTAACAAGCTATGGAACGCTTCTGCACAGACATTACGCAGCTTAGGTTCCTTCTTGTCAGCAACCTGGATGCGGCAGAGACTTGCGTAAGGAGTGTAGCGATCAACGTTCACGCCATCAGACATGAAAGAGGATAACGCAACTGTAGCCTTCTTCTTAGCCAGAGGAAAGTTCATCTCCTTGTCGCCAAGGTAGCCAATACCAGCCCAGGAATGCATTTTAAAGGGAACGGCGTCAAAAGGCACGGAGTGCAAACCTGATATCTGCCACCTTGCAATGACGCGCGGGATAGAACGCTGCCAGACACCACTGTTCTGTGGGTTTAGTGTCTAGGGTTGCGGGTTGAGGGTCTAGGGTTGAGGGTTTAGGGTCCAAGGTTCAAGGTCTAGGGTTGAGGGTCTAGGGTCTGGGTTTAGGGCTTAGGGAGGGTTTATAGGGCATATAGGGCTTTGGGTTTATAGGGCTTAGGGCTTAGGGCTTATAGGGTTGAGGGTCAAGGGTTCGAACAATCAGCAATACTATTTTGGGGTACCTAAAAATAAAATGTACCCCAGAACCAGAATCGAATTCTTAAGGCCCCTTTGGCAGCTGAGAGCAAAGGCTCAGTTGAAGGCGTAAGATCGTACTTACCCAGTTGTATCTTACCCTAAACCCTTACTTGGAGGATCAGGGGACGTAGTAAGTAAGGTTATAAGTCCCCTAACATAGTTACCTTATTTATAACCCTACTTACTAAGTCCCATGAACCTTTAAGTAACCCTGCACCCTGGATCTCCGTCTAGTCCTCAAATCCCAAACCCAAAAACCCTCAAACCCTAGCCGGTAAGTTAAACCATAGAAGCCCTAAATCTAAATCCTCAAACCTCCTTTGGGATCAGGTGACCCTAAACCCTAAACCCCTAAACCGTAAAACCCCCAAACCCCTAAACCCTACACCCTAAACCCTAAACCCCTAAACCCTAAACTCCTAAGCCCCTAAGCCCCTAAACCCCTAAACCCCAAACCCCTAAACGCCAAACCCC